AGCAAGCCCAGGCCCGCCCGTTCTTGCTTTCTATGGTGGTAGGAAAACTTGGGTTCCGAGACATAGACTGCTGCGATCATCGCGATGGCTTCACTCGCCGAAAAGTCGCCCGCAGTGGCCGACGCCCGCGACGACACGCAGGAAACGTCTCGCGAGGGCCCATGGATTCGCCTCATGACGGCCCTTCACTGGTACTCCCGCAGCATGCTCAGCGAGGAGAAGGAGCTCGTGCTTCGGCTCGACCTGCTCATCCTCGTCTTTGGCTGCCTGTGCTTCTTCACAAAGTACCTCGATCAGTCGTCCCTCACAAACGCCTACGTGAGGTAAGCCGCCGCCCTTCTCACCCGTCTGTGCGAAGCTGACCGGCCCAGCGGTATGAAGGAGGACCTCGACCTCGTCGGCAACGAGCTGAACTACATGACCATTGTGTTCTGGTCCTCGTACTGCACGTCCATGATCCCGGCATGCTACTACCTGACCCGCTACCCCATCAACGTCGTCCTGCCCGTCCTCGAGGTCGGCTGGGGCCTGTCGACATTTGGGCTCTCCTGGGCGCGCAACGTCGAGACCGTCTACGCCATGCGCTTTTTCACCGGCCTCTTCGAGTCCGCCTCCTTCACCGGCATCATCTACGTCATCGGCTCCTGGTACAAGCCGTCCGAGGTCGGCCGCCGCGTCGCCCTCTTCTACATCGCCGCGCCCCTGGGCACCATGTTCGCGGGCTACCTACAGGCCGCCGTCTGGCTCAACCTGCACAACGTCCGCGGGCTCGCCGGGTGGCGCTGGCTCTTCCTCGTCGACGCCCTGATCACCGTCCCCATCGCCTTCGTCGGCTTCTTCGTCTTCCCCGACGTGCCCTCGCGCTCGCGGCCGAGGCTGCTGCCCGCGCGCCTGCACGCCTTGGCGCAGAAGCGCCTCGAGGGGCTGACGGCGCCGCCGCAGCTCAGGGTCTCGCGCGACATCTTCCGGCGCGTCTTCACCCGCTGGCACTGGTACCTCTTCGTCGCGCAGTGGACCATCATGAACGAGAACCTGCAGCCCGGCGGCTCCCCTTTCTCGCTGTACCTCAAGGCGTTCCCCGAGACGTACTCGGTGACGCGGATCAACACGCTGCCGACGGTCGCGACGGCCATCTCCATCGTCTCGGCCCTCGCGGCGGGCGCCCTCGCGGACCGTACCGGCTGGTTTGCCGGGCTCTCCGCGGCCGCCGCCGTCCCCTCGCTGGCCGGCGTGGTCATGCTTGTGGTCTGGGACGTGGGTGAGGGGGGCCGCCTGGCGGCCTTCATGCTCAACGGCTTCGAGGGCGCCGTCCCCTCGCTGACGATGGCGTGGGCGACGGTGACGATGGCCGGCGACGCCGAGGAGCGCGCCGTCGTCACCGCGTCGATGAACGCCATCGGCCAGGCCATCGTCGCCTGGGCGCAGCTGCTGCAGTTCCCCGCCGTCGAGGCCCCGCGCTTCGTCCGCGGGTTCAGAAGCGTCGTGGGCACCATGGTGACGCAGTTTTTCGTCACCGGCGCGATTTGGTTTCTGGTGAGGAGAGATTCCAAGGTCAAGGAGCAGTGGTCGGAGGGCGATGGGGGCGAGCAGGCTCAGGCGGAGGTTGTTTGAGGAACGCCGGCTACTGCACTGGATTTCAGGGGAGTTGAGGGAATCGTGAGGTGGGAAAGACAATACCCAGAATTATCAATATTCATCCTTGAAGTACTACGTCGTGCATCGAAGCACATACATGCTCTGCCGACCAGCTTGCCGGATGCGGCCTTGAACAGTCAAGAAACCAGTTGTGAAATACTAGACACGTCGATGGGGCAGGATTGTAGCAATTATAAATATGTCTACCTACGACAGGCGACTATCGAAGCAACGTAAAAAGGTATTGTCAACCCTCAGAAGCAGTGATAGTGCTTCGGTATAATTCTATGTCTCTTCCGCCTTGCAAAGACGCAACTTGTTTTGACTGAGGCCCACGACGGGCTACCACCTAACAATGTCTCTAGCAAAGCGATCGGGACGAGTTCCTCATCGACATCAACCTCAATACTCTTTTCTTCGCTTTGTCGGCCGGGCAACTTCAGTGCCGTCGTCGACGCTGGCGCGCTTGGTTCTCCGCTTGCTCTTCTTCCATTCCCTGGTCTTGACTTCCACCGCTTGCTGACACGCCTGCTCCAGGAGATCGTCACCCATGTCTCCCAGTTCGCGCTTCTTACACCACTTGCGAAGCCTTCTCTCTCGGTCTTCTGGAGAAGAGACGAGCTTGGCTTTGTGCTTTTCCATCCAGCGGGAGATGCGCTCGACAGCTTCATCGAACTGAGACACGTCGGGTGTGAATCTCTCTAGCCGCTTTTCCAGCCCCGCCAACTCATCGATACGATCGTCGCCGGCCACAATGTTCTCGGTGATTTGGTTGCAGCCGTCGAATGCACTCTTCAATGAGATGCTGCTCCCTTCGCTGTCGATCCTCGATGCCCAGCAGACAACCATGTCATATGCCTGCAGCAGGCCCAGGCGAGAAAAACGCAAGTTGTACGCGTGCTCGACGAGGCCCAGCGAGAGCACGTGAACGGATCCGCCATCTGGCAGCTTTCGTTGGGTGACGTCGATTCTCACATGAGGATGGATGTAGTTCGCCATATTTGCTCCCTGTCGCTGGCCTTTGTCTTTCCCTCTGTCGAAATGACCATTCGCCTCGTCCTCCAGCTCTTCAACGACGTGTTTCTGGAGTCTGACGGCCGGAGGGACGGGAACCTCAAAAGGAAAGCCCCCGACGCACTTTCTTCTGGGGCACAGAGCCGTCCATATTTCCTGGCGAATCCCCAGAGGCATGAAAGCTGAATCCTCCGGGCTCGGCTTCTCGGTTGTGTCCATATCGATGGCTGGTCTGTCTTCGTGTTTCGGCTGGGTAGGCATCCATATATCCTGACGAACTCCCAGAGGTATGATAGCAGATTGTTCTGAGCTCGGCTTCTCGACTGGCTCCGTATCGATGGCTAGCTCTTCTTCCTGTTTCAACTGGATAGCCGGCTTTTTTTTAGCCCTGCGCAGCGCCATGTCCTTCAAAACTGTGAGAGGAGCGAAGTCTTTCACTCCAGCGGGGTCATCGTGAAGGAGATAGTCCCCGAACGCTTCGGCAAAGGCGGCATTTTCCTGTGCGAAATCAGGCGCAGATACAGCACCAGCACGATAAACCATTGCCAATACTGTTTTCTTAGGCCCAAATGCTTGTCCAAGTTTGGTTTTCTGCGTTGTCGATAGTTTCGGATCCTTGCGTATTCTTTCGATTGTACTATAAGAGACGTCTGCTTGGACAAGGAGATTACCCATGACATAGTGAGCATCGATCTCCTGTGGAACCTCGAAACAGATGTGGCGCTTGATATCGGCGATGGAACTTGTAGAGGGGTCAACGAGATTGGTGTTGGTTTTTCCGTTTTTGTACTTCAGGTTTTGTGAGACGGCCGGGTGTCTTCTTTCAGCCAGATTCTCGGTAAACACCTTCGACCAAGGGTAACCGCCGTCGTAGTCCGGGAAGCCCAAGACAAGTACCCATATGTCAGCTTTGCTGAAGATCATAGGAAGATGGCAACGACGTCGAACGAGCCATTCCATGTGATGCTGGAGAAGTTCGTTGCCGCTTGCAGGCAGTTTTCTGCATTCGTCGTATGTGTGATCTCTCGTGTTGCACATCGGGCAACCAAAGATGTGGCCATTTTTCCGATCTCGGTAGCCCATATAAGCGCAATCTGCAAGCTCATGGCCCATTCTGCGGCATTGTACACACGTGACCCTGTTCCTACTGTCCGTTTGGTTTCCGCCGTTCCTCTGGAGACTGGCATGGCCACTGTTGCTGATGACCTTTCCGTCTGACATCTTAGATGGCGTCTGACTGAGGTGATTAAGAGCCCATAAAAATCAAAAGGGTTACAGGATGAGAGTTCACTTACCTTGAGAAGTCATGCCTTGCGCGTGTATGCCGCAGAAAGCGCAAGCCGGCTGGGGTGAAGCGGAAAGGTTGGTGAAGTTGACGAGTCGACTTGGGGGAGGACCTCGAATATTTTTGCTATTGACCTGAGAGGTCAATCAAGTCTTGAGTGATTTCGATTCTTACCCAGCTTTTCAGTTGATGAAATTGATGGGGCAATGAAGGCGGTTGTGAGTAGAAAAGATAGTGAAGCAGGTGGAGGGAACTTTTTAGCCAGGAAGAAAATGCTCCCAGTCCTAGACCTTTCATCGGCGAGAAGGTAGATATGAAAGCTCTTGATGAGACCGTTTCACTATGCCAGGTATGTAATCCGATGATTTACTTGGCTGTTGTCTTCACCTCCAGTTCACTCCTGTACTGTGACTCTCTTTTGCGAGGGCACAAGGGCTCCTTACATCACCTTTGGGTCTCTTGGCAGAAAGGCAGGCAGATAGCTTCTGTCAACCTCATGGCTAGGTAACTACTCTTGTCTCGACAATGTTTGTCACTTCTGCCCCTAACGGCTCGTAGCCGCTTTGACAAGCACAGCTGTGTGTGGCCTTGTTCAAAATCGAGACTCAAGGACGAGGAAACACAGGCAGGAAGGCTCCTATGTCACATAAAAAAAATCCGTAGATGGAGTGATATAGATTGAATCCATAGGCTAGGCATATCTGTCTGTCAAAGCACAGCTCAAGCGCGCCGTGATCTTTTCCCAAGAGACTCTCCAGGCTGTTTCTCAGATTTCCAAGGAAATCCTTCTAAATAGAGCGGATACATACATATTCATCCTGATGTTTAGTGCTGACGACCAAGCAACTGTACACACATTCCCCTCCGAGTGCTAACAAGCCGATGAGCCGTACTGTTGAGCTTGAAATGATACCATAGAAAAGAACTGTAAACGGCAGGAGCACCTGTCTATGTGGAGGGAAAGCACGTGTGGCACTGCCCTCCTTTTCTCACAACCTGCCTCTCACCCGCCTCTCACCACTCACCAACACAAAAAAACCAGCACCACGTGCATCTCAAAATCACGTGACCCCCACCCGATTTGAACGGATAACCTTCCGATGCCACCAATGTGATGAACTGGAGTCGAAAGCGCTACCATTGCGCCAGAGGGCCTGTTGTCAGTCTGTTGGCCTGGAGTGAATATCAACGGACCATTTCCTAAGCGAGGCCTCTCATTGGCTGCAGTGGAGCATACATTTTAAGAATTGCGGCAGGAGCCGAGGCACCTCTGTTCTTTCCCACAAAGATAAAGCTGAATTGGGTCAGAGTCAATGCGGCAGCATTACCGCCAACATGACTTCCAAAGCGGAGTAGGATGGGATAGGCGCAAAGCCCGGCTCCGTTGCGCTTAACCTTCGAGGAACCAGGTGCATATGCGAGCGCTCTTCCTTCTGCTGCGACTGAGCCGAGCCGAAGTACGTATCCAAGAAGGCCTCTCAAGGCCGCACAGTACACAACGGCACTCCAACACTGTCGAACAACACACAGTATAGGCATCATGGACACCCAGCATCTAACGGGAATGGAACTGGCACCTGAACAGAGAGCTTCCCTGGGAACTGCGACTTGACGGTGTGCTGAGTCATCGACAGGGCCCCTCTCGCCATGTCACCGAGGCCGGGTCAAGATGCCAACGGGGTGGAGACGGCTGCTGTGGCCGGGCGGGGAGCTGTTGCAAAAGGCACGTTGCCCAGTGGGACCGCGTCTTACCGGTCCACTGATATTACCCCTCCACCCCCTCTTTGCTTCCTCTCTGCCCGCATGCATACGGTATGGTGACATTGTCTTTTGCAGCTTCCCACTTTGACGTCCGGCGAGCTGACTGACTGACGCGACAGAAGCAGTGTACGTCCCATTGGGAAACGAATTTGCAGCAGTGTATGCTCGGCCAGTTCCTCTTATCGCCCGTGGGTGACCTACCAGGGGCCGGTTCGGCAAGCTTGCCAGGTCGATCCAACAATCACTCAACCATTCAGGAGCAGCCGTCTGTGCGATAAGGTTACTGGATCACCGTGTCGTCTGATCCAAGGGACGCGCCAACGTGCCTGATCTGACACGGCGGATCTCCAATGCGGGCAGGAAGGAGTATCTATGCCTTTACCCGACGCACACCAATGTCCCCGCCCTGCCCCTTGGTCGAAGAAAAGATCGTCATGGGGTGGAGGGAAGCGCTGTGGCAGGCGCTGAACTGGGCGTGGGCACTGGATCGAGCGCGGATTTCCCGACACTGGGGTTGGCCGTCTTGGAGATGTTTGGAAAAAAATGTGAAACACTCCAATCGTGTGGGACGTGATCAAGATCCAACGCTGGGCTGCAGAAATCCTGGCAGATACGCCGTGGATTTGGAATGAACGGCCCGGTTTTCACAAGCCTCCTACCACTGATGGACACCCAGGGCGGAGACCGTTGCATCTCGTTCGTGCTGCCGACTGTTGGCCAGCCCTCTGGCGTTTTCGATCGCGATATTGATGGGCCGGGAACAGGCTTGTTCGACCCAGCTCGAGATTGCCATTAGTCAATCTTCCGCGCGGCCACCGCGTCAAGACTCTAGGTACCATGATCGGGCCGGTTCTCAGTCTCGTCCAAAGGACAGCGTCGGCGCCCTTGCTCAAACGCTCGTCAATTGTGTACTGCCATGTCACCCTTGTGCGGTTGTCGTGCCCTGCAGAAGCCTAAATGCGGGAGGCCGAGTCAGAGGCTTCTACTCAGACAGCTGCGTGATCTCCCTCGCCAGCTCCGAATCTAGCAGATACTGCGCCATATCGGATCCGAGCTGTGGACGGATATAAGCGGCATCATGATGGTCGATTGCCCGTTTGATCACCGTACGCATCGGCGGGCGCGAGACTGACTCGGCCGGCACCGGAGTACAGTACACCATGTGCAAACGGCGCGAGATGCTGTCGAATGCCGAATGATTTGCACTGCGAGACGCAAACGCTGTCCTCAGCTCGAGGTGTTTGCATACGTCCCCGATGCGAAGGATCGTCGACGTACGCTCCGCCGAGGTTAGCCTCACAAATCGGGTTGCATCAGCCACGCGAGCCTGATAGCTCGAGGTCGACGTTGCATTCGCGTCGACGGCAGTCGAGGACACGAGTCCCTGATCTACCTACCTAGCACGGCCCCTAATCGTTTGAGGTTTGATTGACGCTGAGCAGGAATTCCGACCAATACGTAACCCGGATTCGAAACCCCCTTTTCATCTCTAATTCGTTGTCTCGTTGGCGAAGACAAACGAACAGGCCGCCTGCGCGATGGCATTGCACATATCAGATATTGTCTTTAACCCGACGTCGCCGCGTTCTGGATCATCTGATATTTCCGACACGACCCCGGTTCTTGAGTCGACTGTTCGTGAGGGATGTTCGAGGCTGGCGGCGCGGAGACGAGCCTCTGGAATGGTGAGACATGGAAACGTCTTGGTTTTGGCTCCCGAGGCATGGCAACCCGGGCTCTAGGTTCTCCATTATACGTTTTGCACGTCGATTCGACTGGGCCAGGCGCTGGTCCTGGCATACTATGTACACTCTTGTGCCCTCGGTGGTGAAGCGCCCAGGGCCCCTTTCTTGTTCCTCGCACCAACTTGAAGCCCTTCGGCCTCCTGCCTGGGTTGCGAAGTGAGCGTCTGGACTGTGCTGCCGTCGAACCAGGGATCGCCGCCCACGCGGGCGCCGCGCAAACCGAGTGGCCCGCGTTTCGGCAATTGAGACACCGTGGTCTTCCACGCATGTATATTGCTTCAGGCGCCAATGGTCATCGTCTCCTCTGCAGCGTCGGACGGCTTGCTGGTGGCGTTCGGGCGCAAGCCCGGGAGAAGTGTAGAAGTGTAGTTCAGTGCGGCGCGGTGCCCGTATGGCCAAGGATAAAAAATGGAGCGGGCGGGCATCGTCATCCGGGCGATGCCAATCGTTGCCCTACCGAGCAAGCGCGTCGCCAGCGCCCCGGGTATGGGTGCTTCATACGGACATAGACTTCAGTTCCATTCCCGCGAGGCTGGCTAGGGCACGCACGGCTAGCAGCAGGCACCGGCTTACCCAAGTGGAACGATGAGCGCTGGGAATCTTGGCTCAAACCCCCTCCCTACCTTCTGCCGTGCGATATACTACTACGACCGTGAACCCGTACGTACTTCGATCTGGAACGTTGGACAGGCAGGAAGGAGATACATGTGCGCTTGGACGCAAGAAAAACCCAGTTTCTCCCGTTGGTCTCGGAGCAAACCCAGTGGCACGTCTAGCCGTGCGGGTAGCCTGGGCTCCGGGCACGAAACTTGTTCGAACAACAGGCTCGGCAGGGATGAGTCCACTAACACATCACGAGTGACAGTTGGCGAGGGGGGGGGGGGGGGGAGAAAAAAAAAAAAAAAGAAAAGAAGGAAACGTGAAGCGCAGGTAGATAGTGTGCCACGACTGCTCGTTGCTTGCTTCTTCCTGAGCGGCCGCCCGTCCTGTATTGAAAATAGTATCCGCATCATGACATGTGAGGCGAGCCATAGCCCAAAACCTGATATAACTAGTATCCGTTTTTCATAGGGGTCGCTGCTCAGCGTGGTGCTCATATCCGCCGTGTTGAGCTCTGACCACCCCTCTGCAGGGCTATCGGGGCTCGCCGTCATCAAACGTCGTCAGTAGGTATTGGCAATACACGCCGGTAGACGAGATGCGCTGTGCTCCACTTGCTGTTTGCTCGAAAGCATCTCGTTTGGACCTTGCGATTCAGCCGTCCGCTGCAAGATGGCGTCTCCGGTCGGTTATTGGATCATTACGCAAGGATCTCCCGTCTGCCCATGCCAGGCAAAAAAAAAACAAACAAAAAAACCTTTTCTTTCCCAGCAGGATGCATACTGTGGGAAATGATTGTTTCTGCCCGCTGGACATTTGGTGTCTCTACTACGTATATAGAGGGGGATCCTTGGCAGCCTCGATGGGGCGCCTCTCTCTGCTGAAGCATAAGTTATTATTTCAATTATTTTAATTTTTACGTAGACAGGTGATGTGGCGAGGCCGAGAGGAAGCGCGATGGCGCAGCACAATGGGCATCGCGTAATCAGTCGTACATCGGCTCAGAAGGACTGAACGATGGAGCAGGACGAGGAGGAAAAAACATTAACAGCAAAACTTTCGTGCATACCCAAATCGACAGTTAACGGATGATTTCGCGTGATCCGGGCCGGCTCATGTGGGCTCCACGCGAAGGCCCACAGGCTGATCTTTGACTAGCAGCATGAATATGGACAGGGCGAGCCACTCGGGGGAATTCGAACGCGAATATCCGCCCCCACATACTAAGTGATTATGCGTCTCCTTTATCGTGCGTCGGCAATCCATCTTGTCTGACGTCTACGTGCAAGTTGAAGTCATACGAATCGTCAGCGGCGGTGGGCCGCGGAACAAACGATACCTTACATTACCATGGATGGTGTATAGAGAGAGAGAGAGAGAAGGAGCATCTTCGGGAAAACAGTTCGTTGAAACGACCATGCGCACAGAGACACGTTGTTTGACTGCGAAGACCAATGAAATGTCTTGGCCACCGCCGGCTCGTGCGGTCCGCCGATTAGGACGACGGATCTTGGCTTTCCCACCCCGAGAGTGTACAGGTACACTAATTGGTGGCATTAGGCAGGTGGCCGACCTTGGTGAAGGAAAGCTTGGGAGACGGAGAGATGTAACGATACTGCAGCTAGCGCCACTCGTGCAGCAACGGCGCCTTAGCTTATAGTGTTCTTGGTGTAGCGTAAACTCGGTACGCTGCTACTACGTAGCTTGGCTTCTGCAAACAGGCGGACCCTGGGCGTCGCTGATTGGAGAGATGCTCAAGCCACGGTGTGGCTCACATTCGACATGTCCTGTTCTGTTCACTTCCGAATACCACGGTGCCGGCCTACAAGGAACAACCGAGAGGCAGAGATGTGCTCGCGGTGCCTCGCCTACATCAAAGCAGCGGTCATGTGGCCTGGGGGCGAGAGGGAGAGGTGCCGGGCGCCACTTCGGAAGCTGCTCTTGAGGTAATTTGGACCAACACCGCGTCTGTTGCGGGTATCGAGATGGAGAGGTCGGGGTACCTTGTATCCCGACCGACTGCTCCCTGTGGCCCTGAATGGAGGCAAA